GGGGGGGCTCCCGAAGTTTTTGCCACAGCTGGGATGCTCTTTCCATTCCATCAGACCATGCACCTGCCTAAGGGCACATCCAGGCCACCTGGGCTGCACCCTGGGCCTGAGGTGCCCCACCCCCAGGCTAAGGGCTTCCCCAAACGTCCAGGTTCACTCTTCTGGGGCTCAGGGCTGATAACAGATGTTGTGGTACATTCGGCTCTGGGGCTTGGTAAAAACTAAAGGGTTCGGTGAGCTGTAAGCAGCCATTGTACAGCAGGGGGTGGGGATGGGCAGGGGTGGGATGTCAGGGTGCAGGAGCGGGCTTGGGGTAGTGGAGATTCAGGATCTGGCTGGGGCATAGGGTACAGGATCAGGGTGAAGGTGGGCGGTCTGGGCAGGAATTGGGGTTCAAGAGCGGGCTGCGGGTGGAGGTGCAGGGTCTGGGAGGGTGTGGGTCTGCAAGGTCTGGTCAGCATGGGATAGGGGACTGATTACCTGGGACACCTCCCAGAGGTGTGCAAATGGATGTATATTAGGGAGATAAACTCCGGATAAAATGTAAGCATGTGACTGTTAAAAATCCTACCAGTTACACAGCTACATGCACTGCAGATTGTGCAGCTTTGTACTGCAGCACATTGGGCTGCCCTGGAGCAGGGTTGGGAGCTGCAAGCCGGTGCACGCTGAGAGTGCTCTCTAAGTGCGCACCAGCTCCTAACTGTGGGACCTGCTCCTGATGCTGGTTGACGGCGGGCTCTGCAGTATGAGCTATATACGACAGCACGCAGCACAGGATCCAGCCCATGAAGCTCAGGGTCCTTGGCCCCCTGCAGCAGGACAAGATGTGCTGGTGCTCCAGCCACAAGGGGTAGAGACGGCAACAAGCCTCAGAGCCCCTCCCCAGCATGGCTTGAGCACCGGTGCCAAGTTGCCCTGTTGCAGGGGGCGGGAGGGAGTCCAAAGCAGCCCAGCCTGTGGGTCGTAGGTTCTCCATCACTGCCTTAGAGAGACCTCATAATTCAATTAGACAGCTTTAGTATTTTGGATACGGTAGAGGATTTTTTCCCTAGAATTAGCCTGATAGTGATTTGGATGCGAGTAGGCAAGGGGTCATTACCATCTGGAGCAGGGATTTCCCATCAGGCCATGCTACCCTGCTTTCTGTGTCCCAGAGTTCAGTGCAGTTTTTGTGTTGGACTTTGTGTTCTTCATTCTGTATATGAATAGAATGATGCACATGAGGCTCTGGGAGCTTTTTTTAGGGGCGGGGGTTAGGTGTGCCTTCCCCCTTCTCTGATGATTGGCTTTGATTCAAGCAGACACTGGAAGGGAGGATAGTGGGAAGGTTTTTCATTAGTGTGCATGGCTGGATATTTTGCCCTCAAGAAGGCAGGGCTATAACAATAAAAAATAAAAGGTTGCAAATGCTATAAGAGAATCACAGAAAAAATTGCTAAAATCTGTAACTACTATGTACTTATGTGTTTCTGAGCATTAGCTATTAAAACAAAAACAAATAGTACATGACAAGCATTGCACAGAGTAATAAAAGTAATAGAAATAACATTTGCAAAGGAGCAAAGCTTAGGTACAATTCAAATGGGATACAGTGATGGGAGTGTGGTTCAGTGATTCATGGACAGCAGAAAAGACAAATCTGTGAAATGTTATGAGACTTCATGTTCTCTCTTTAGCCCCCTTTTTTCCATTTTTAACCCCCTGTAAAATGTAGTTAGCAGAAACTTATCCATAGTAGGGCAAAGGGCAGTGGCTTCAGCAGAGCTACTGAGCATGCTCAGTTGCTGAAAATGTAGTTAGCAGAAACTTATCCATAGTAGGGCTTGCTGTTTTTTTTTATTTTATTTTTTATTTTTTGTAAATTAAAACAAAATCGGGTTTAAACAAATTTAAAAAGCCCCTCTGCCACAGTCACACTTTGGTGCCTCATTCCCACTAGGGTTATTGTTTTTACCCCTTCTGCTCTACGTGTACTGGTGCTTTGCCCTCTGTTTTGCTGCAGCAGCGGAGTTTACCTGCTACTTCTCCCCCCCCCTCCCCAGCAGCCTTAAGGAGTGAAATCTGAGACCAGTGGCTCATGTCGCTACAGCCCTGTATGTGAGGGGCAATGGTGGGAGGGAGGGCTGTTCAGGGGTCAAATGGGGCAGAGGGGATGGAAGTGACAGGGTAGGGGAAGGAGCCATCTGCAGTGTTTGCAAAACCAGCAAGTGGGGCAGGTGTGGAGTGTTTCCCATTTCCAGGGTATCTCAGGGCCTCTTCCCAGGGCTGTGATCTGAATGGCACAATGTCCCCCAGGTACTGGCTTCCCTGCTGCATAAGGTGGATTTGCCTGTGTCATGGCTCCTTCCCCACTCTGGCATGATAAATGCAGAAGTGGGGGTCAGTAAGTGTACCCCAAAGCCTTATCTACCAGGCTTTGGTATAAAACTTCTCCCAAAATCTTAAAAACCTAGATTTTGGGAATAAAACTTCTGCTGCCACCACCCACATATTAATAACAAGATTAGGGGAAAGATCATTTGGGAAATCTCACCCCTATTATAAAAATCAGGACACACAAGTAACCAAAGCCAGGTTAATGAAAAGAAAAGAGAAAACTTTTATTATTACAACAATATTCCTGTTGCAAGCATAAGGATCAGATGGAAAGGTAACAAAATATACTCATGAAGGAATTACACCATGGGCTAGAACTTAGTTAAAAAGAAAAGCCAAGCATCTTTTAAGCAGTGCCAGATATCAGATCCCATACCCAACAATAAAGCCTAACGAAACTACCTAAACTTTACCCTACTTACAGAAAGTGAATAATTGTTTCTTGGAGAGAGAGAGAGACATGCTTGTCCCTCCCTATAGCTGCAGAGGACTCTCCCCAAGAGACAAAAGAGGAAAAAATCCAAGTTCCTTTGTCCCAGTTTGAAAGTCCTACCTACATTCCTATTGGCCACTCCACCTGGCTAGGTGTAGTTAACCCCTTAATCCCCAGGCTGCTGGCTAACCCTCATAATCATGACAGCCTGCTAAAGGGGTGAATGCAGGGAAATGTTTTAGATAACAGCCCCTTCCACACATGGCCATAGCTAGACCTGGTTTTAGGATCTAAAGAATCCTTGATCCGCTTCTGTGTCTGCGTAAAGCTGCCTGTCTCACACTATAAAGCAGAGGTGGGTAACTTCAGGCCTGGGGGCTGGAGGTGTCCCCAGCTTGCCTGGATCTAGTCCCCGAAGTTCAGAGACCCTTCCCCTCAGCATTGGGGAGCCTGCACTGGCTTTCTAGCCCCCCGCCACTCCCCGTGGGGCTGGAACACACAAAATCTACCAGGTTGGGCCTCCCTAAGCTCTGGTGTGTGAGGGGAATATGGGGAGTGTCTGCATTTCAGTCAGGGGCCACGTCAGTGAGGGGTTATTTATTCATTTGTTTCTCACTTGTGTGCAACCCCTGACTGATTTTTCTGTGGGTCATTGGCCCCCAACCCAAAAAAAGGTTCCCCACCCCTAAGTTTATCGCCCCAATCCAAAAAAAGGTTCCCCACCCCCAAGTTTATCAAAGGAAATTGATGCATGAAATCGCAGGGGAGGCAAACTCTATGCAGGGGCCAAATTGACTGTATGGGGGGGCAGATCACACAACTGGCTGCAGGGCCAAGACGGGGGCCACAGGGTGAAATTGGAACAGGCAGTGGAGTTAAGAACAGAATCTGGGCACTTCCAAAAACGTACCCCAGTGGGGGCAGCATTTGCAGTGTTTGTAAAAATATGGATGGGGGAGGGAGAGGGTTTTTTCCCTCCCTGCCAGGATAGGGGGTGGCAGTGCCCACTTGCCAGGGCTGTGTGGGTGGCCAGTGCCTGGAGAAGGTGCCTTTTCCCTACCCGAGAGGCAGGACTCTGCAACAGGGGGTGAGATTCAGTGGCTGAGGGCTGCCTTTGCTAGCTGCTGTTTTGCCATGTGCCCAACACCCTAGTGAGGATGAGCAGATGCCCCAGATTAAAGCCCTGCTGCAGCATGTTGACTCTTTCTTAAAAATGGGCAAATTGTCCTGTATTTTCTGTCTCCCTCCTCATCAGTGCTGGCAGGTCCTGCTGCCGCCGCCACATGGCCACTCACCAGCTGCCCACCCATCAACAGGGAGTAGGGGGGTCCAGTGGCTGCTCCCCCAGTTGGTCCATCAGCGCAGCCTGTGCTTCATGTCAGCGTCAGCCAGCAGTAGGGCCCCTCCACATCCCCTTTCTGTTGTGCGCTAACTGCACTGCCAGCTGCAATGGCTGGTCAGCTTGACCAGGAACCAGACGGCAGCTGCCCACCCATTGGTCCTTTCCATTCTCCCCCTCTTGCTGCCTTCTCCCTGCTTGGCCCCTTCATGCCTCATAGCCCCCCTGTTCCTTCATCTCCCCCTGTGGAGTATGGCCCTGCCCATGTATTACCTCAGGGAGATGTGATTCCAGGTACCAGGAGAGGGAAGTGTGTCCTCCCTCCTTACCAGACTGGGCTCAGAGGAGAACTCCAGGGTCAGTTCTATCAGACACCTCGGTCGTGTGAGAGAGGTGTAAGTAGGGGGTGTCCCCCACTCCCTTTTGAACCCTAAAGCCTTAAAGATAAGAAGGCTCCAGCTAAACAGTAATTGGGCTCGTCTACACTGGCCCCTTTTCCGAAAGGGGCATGTTAATTTCACAGATCGTAATAGGGAAATCCGCGGGGGATTTAAACATCCCCCGCGGCATTTAAATAAAAATGTCCGCCGCTTTTTTCCGGCTTTTAGAAAAGCCGGAAAAGAGCGTCTACACTGGCCCCGATCCTCCGGAAAAAAAGCCCTGTTCCGGAGGATCTTATTCCTACTTTGAAGGAAGGAATAAGATCCTCCGGAAAAGGGCTTTTTAGGAAAGGCGGGAAAAGAGCGTCTACACTGGCCCCAATCCTCCGGAAAAAAAGCCCTTTTCCGGAGGATCTTATTCCTACTTTGAAGGATCGGGGCCAGTGTAGACGCTCTTTTCCGGCTTTTCTAAAAGCCGGAAAAAAGCGGCGGACATTTTTATTTAAATGCCGCGGGGGATGTTTAAATCCCCCGCGGATTTCCCTATTACGATCTGTGAAATTAACATGCCCCTTTCGGAAAAGGGGCCAGTGTAGACGTAGCCATTATGTTTAACAGGGATTTGCTGTTAATTTGAATCTGTGTACTGCTTGGTTCTGATTGATTTCCATTGAGCTCTCTTGAATATAAACAGTTTTACCAGGTGTCCAGTATTCAACAAAGGGAAATATGGTCACTGTAACCCTAGTGCTTTTTCACATCACTTGCCACTTGGGTAGGTTTTGCTTTCTGAATATTTACTACAGGTTAGATGATTAAATGTCAAACCACTGAGATATTGTTGAAAATAATTTTGTACTTGAAAACTTCTATATTTCTATAAGTAATTCCCCATCCTACAAACACTGAAGTACACACTTACATTTTCTATTACTTTTTTTATTGCATATATAAATATTTGGATTTATACTCATATACTTGTACTTCAAACCACATATTTCAGTTTCATAGTTTTTCTGTGTGCTACATCTATTGTAACAATACATTCCAATGGTGCTCTTCACTCTGACAGCCCTACTGTTCTGTGTTACCAAATTCTAGGGTTTTTAAAATAAATTATCTTTTTTGAAAGGGTCCAGGATACTGTGCTGACCTCACCAGAGGTATCTCCCCCCTGGTTCTCTGCAGGGGAACAGCTAATGCATGTTCACCTATGTTTGTAAAACACACAGCTTAGCAGTGGCCCAGGTCACAATGCTTCCCCGGTTCCCCTTGGCTGTAAACAGCTAACCGCAGCCAATGGGAGCTGTGAGACTCTATGGCTGTGGAGCCAGTAAGTAAACAACCTGGAGCGACCCATTAGTGAGTTTCTCAGAGTGAGTCCCTGAACCACTTTGAGAAACACTGGTATATGGGGTATAATGCTAAAGGTGTGAAGGTAAAGCACACAATGTAAAGCACCTTCAGTCTTGGCTATTTCACTGCTCTGTCAGTTCAGTTTCAACATGGGGTTAGTTTAATTTAAAACAATAAATAGGTTGAGAGCTGACTGGCTTCCACTGTATCAGTCTGTTCATGGAGAGAAACTGCTGGATCCCCAAGGGCTCCTGAGTCTAATGAAGACAGCTCAGCGAGAACCAATAACTGAAAGCTGAAGCCAGACAATTTCAGGTTAGAAAGGAGGCACAAATGTTTGATGGGGAAGAGGATTAGTCACTGAAACAAATGGTCACAGGATATTGTGGATTCTCCATCTTTTGATGTCTTCAAATCAACACTGGACGACTCTTTAGAAAACATTCTTTGGGGAAACAGAGCTTTGTGCCTAGATAGCTGGGTTAAGTTTAATGGCTTGTGCCACAGAGGAGGTCAGACTGCATGACTAAGGATATCTTCTGATCCCATGAATCCATGAATTTTAGGATCTCAGCCTGCAAACACTTAGTGCACATGTTTAAAAATAAGCATCTGCATAGTCTTATTATCATCACTTAATTTCTGTTGGGGAGAGGATTTATAATTTGCCTGTCAGATGAAAGAACCAAGCTCTGTGCTGCAAATAAATGGATGAAGATTAGGGGTTTTAAATACAGCAGCCTAAATTTAAACAACTACAACTCAGACATGTGAATATGCAGCTTGTTTATAAGAAACACTGGATACACCAAACTGAATCCCATTGTTGCAGGTGCAGTAATGTTATAATTCAAGCCAGGTATTGAGATAAATGAATGTGGTTTTGGGATCTAACTTGTATGCGCTGTTTATGGAATATCTAGACTCAAACATTTGCCCAAAATGTCCAGTACTAGTATGCCTGTCACCAGGGACAGAGTCTGGGGAGAATGGTGGTATGGAAAGGATTAAAGCCCCTTCTGAAATGTCTCCAATTGCCCTTCTCCCCCTGACAGGCTACAGAACAGCTATATTTGTCTCCAGCTCAGCCCATGGCCTGCAAAGCCAGGGAAAGGAAATGGCTGTGGTGGAGCCAGTGACCTTCGAGGAGGTGGCTGTGTATTTCTCTGAGGAGGAATGGGCTCTGCTGGACCCAGGTCAGAGAGCCCTCTATTGGGATGTGATGCAGGAGAATTATGAGGCCGTGAGCTGGCTGGGTAAGGATTCCTGTCCCCTCAGGTATCAGAAGCTGGGTGGGCTCTGGAGCAGCTGGGTTAGGTTTGGTTCAGGCCCCTCAATGTTCTCTTCCCCGCCAGTATCAGGAGTATGAGCCCCAGTGATCCTGGCTCCTGTGTGAGAGACTGTCCCCTCCATGGTCCCTCCCAGGGGAAGCAGGTTCAGGATCATAACAATGGTGCTGCTCTTCCCACAGCCAAGGACATTCTCAATGTGCTTTCCCTCCATCTTGCACATTTTCTGTCTTGGTGAAGGTGTCAGTGGAAGAGCCCAAGCAAGAACGGCTCCAGGCTTGTCGGGGCTTGATCCAGCTGCTGTTAGTGCCCACAAGGTACCCCCTAGCAGGGTCTGAAGCAGCCAGACAAGGACTCACTTAGCTGATCTGACTACTTCCTCCTCCTATTTCTGGTTCAAGTAGAGCATCCAAGCCAAAGAGCAGGGCGAGCCGAGCCCCCAGCCAGGAGTTTTGTGGACAGAGCCCTTGAGGAGCTAGAGCTCTGCTGGGTCCTTTCTCTCCAAGTTCTAGTGACCTGCCATGTGGCAGCTGCAGTCTGAGCCCTGCCTGTGGGCCTCGGTGTCAGACCTGCCAGCCCTCACTGGAGCTCCCCTTCTGAGAAGTGTGTTCCTGACCTGCCCTGGGACGGGAGGGATGGAACGGGCCATGAGGGAGACTTGGTTATACTGTACACAGTGCAGCAGAGTGCTCAGCTTCCCTGGGGAATCAGCTGGGCCATTCCCTGGGCGGGGGGAGGGGGGGGAATACACCTTTACTGCAGGTGAGTGTGTCCTGTTGGAAGAAGGAAACTCGAGAGGATGGAGTAAGTGGGACCAATTTATCACCCCCTCATGTTTATCTCAGACCCCCAACACAACGTGACAATGATTTGGCAGCAGTTACACTCCTTTATCTATTTTAGTATGTAAATTTACACAACTATCACTACTTTCCATAAGCCCACTGGTCAGTGAGGAGGGAGAAACAATAACAGGAAACTTGGAAATGGCAGAGGTACTTAATGACTTCTTTGTTTCCGTCTTCACCAAGGAATATCTAACATAGTGAATGTTAGAGAGAAAGGGATGGGTTTATAAGATAAAATAAAAAGTTAAAAATCACTTAGAAAAGTTAGATGTCTGCAAGTCACGTGTGCCTGATTAAATGCATCCTAGACTACTCAAGGAGCTGATAGAGGAGGTATCTGAGCCTTTAGCTATTATCTTTGAAAAATCATGGAAGACAGGACAGATTCCAGAAGACTGGAAAAGGGCAAATATAGTGCCCATCTATAAAAAGGGATAAGAACAACCCAGGGAACTACAGACCAGTCAGTTTAACTTCTGTGCCAGGGAAGATAATGGAGCAAGTAATTAAGGAATTTATCTGCAAACACTTGGAAATTAAGGAGGAAAGTAATTAAAGGAATTCATCTGCAAACACTTGGAAGTTAAGAAGGAGATAGGTAACAGCCAGCATGGATTTGTAAAGAACAAATCATGTGAAACCAATCCACTAGCTTTCTTTGCTAGGGATAAGGAGTCTTGTGGTTAAGGTGGAAGTAGCAGGCGGGGGAGGCTTCCTAAGCCCTGATTGTCCTGGAGGCAGAAGTGGGAGCACGCGAAGTCTCCTCCCACTGCTGGGGCATGGGCTGAGGGGGGAGGGGGCAAAGACTTCATGTGCTCCCCCACCACCAGACCAATCATGGTCTGTGTGTGGGAAAGCAGAGAAGTATCCTGGCCCTGCCCCTTCTAGAGTGGCCCCTTGTTTAAAAAAAAAAAATTATTGCCCACACCTGGTCTAGGATGAATTATCCCACTGTTAAATTAATTAGGTGATGTACTTCAGTTTTCTTCTTATGCTGCAGACCAGGTGTGTTTCCAACTACTATTCCAGCATGCTTAAAGGCTCTTCCTTTTCCAAAAGATAATCATATACATTCTTACAGGGTTACTTATGAACCTTAAATTTATCCCAGGATTAAACAGTAACATTATCATAAAGTCTCTTACAAGTGGGTTTTTACCATGCCTTTTATTAGATGATTTATCTTTCAGGCCAGATTGGTTTGACATGATTTGTTCTTTACAAATCCATGCTGGCTATTATCCATTATCTTATCTTCCAGGTGTTTGCAGATGAATTCCTTGATTACTTGCTCAATTATCTTTCCTGGCACAGAAGTTAAACTGACTGGCCTGTAGTTTCCTGGGTTGTTCTTATTTCCATTTTTCTAGATGGGCACTATATGTGCCCTTTTCCAATATTCTGGGATCGCTCCATGATTTTTCAAAGATGATAGCTAAAGGCTCAGATACTTCCTCTATCAGCTCCTTGAGTATTCTAGGATGCATTTCATCAGACACTAGTGACTTGCAGAAATATAACTTTTCTAAATGATTTTTAACTTGTTCCTTTTTTTTTTATTTGATCTTTTAAACCTACCCCATTCCCAATAGCATTCACTATGTTTGGCATTCCTTCATCATCAGACTTCTTGGTGAAAACTGAAACAAAAGTCATTAAGCACCTCTGCCATTTCCAAGTTTCCGGTTACTGTTTCTCCCTCCTCACTGAGCCTATCTTGTCCTTGGTCTTCCTCTTGCTTCTAATATATTTATAGAAAGTCTTCTTGTTACCCTTTTTGTCTAACTAGTTTGAGCTCATTTTATACCTTTGCCTTTCTAATCTTGCTCCTGCATACCAGTGTTGTTTGCTTATATTCATCCTTTGTACTTTATCCTAGTTTTCACTTTTTACATTACTCCTTTTTGATTTTTAGATCATGCAAGATCTCCTGGTTAAGCCAAGTCATTTTTTTGCCACATTTTCTATTTTTTCTCCGCAGTGGAATATCTTGCTTTTGGGCCCTTAATAATGTCCCTTTGAAAAACTGCCAACTTTCGTCAGTTGTTTTCCCCCTTAGTCTTGCTTCCCATGGGACCCTTACTTACCTGCTCTTAGCTTACCAAAATCTGTCTTCCTGAAAACCATTATCTCTATTTTTCTGTTCTCCCTTTTACCATTCCTTAGAATCATGAACTCTGTGATTTCATGATCACTTTCACTGAAGCTGCCTTCTACTTTCAAATTCTCTACCAGTTTCTTCCTATTTGTTAAAATCAAATCTAGAACAGCTTCCCCCCCCAGTAGCTTTTTCAACCATCTGAAATAAACAGTTGTCTTCAATGCAGTCCAATAACTTATTGGATCGTCTGTGCCCTGCTATTTTAGTTTCCCAGCACATGTCTGGATAGTTGAAGTCCCCCATCACCACCAAATCCTGTGCTTTGGATGATTTTGTTAGTTGTTTAAAATGTCTCATCCACCTCTTCCACCTGGGTAGGTGGTCTGTAGTAGACCCCTAGCATGACATCATCCCTGTTTTTTTTATCCCTTTTAACCTAACCCAGAAACTCTCAACACATCTGTCTCCTATGTTCATCTACACCTCAGTCCAACTGTATACATTTTTAGTATATAAGGCAGCACCTCTACCCTTTTTTCCCACAATCAGCCCCAGGCCTTACACACAGGTGAGGGGTAATAGAACCCAATCTCACCTACCCCAAACAGGTTTTCCCAGTCCCTAAGAACCAGTCACAGATCTCAGTCAGTGTACACTTTGGATCTTACCCACAAGATCATGCTGGGCCAATCCTTTAGAATAAAAAATCTAAAGGTTTATTAAAAAAAGAAAGACAAGATGGAGAGTAAGATTGTTAAAGAAAATACATGACATGCACCAATCACCAAGTTCTTGATGCAGGCTCTCAGCAGAGATGTTACAAACTTCTAGCCTAAAAGTCTCTGGTGTACATCCTATGTCAGGATGGGTGACAATCCTTCCCGGCTTGCTGTCCCTTGCAAGGCTGCATCTGGGGTCAGTGGCAGAATTGAAGATACGACGGATCTTCATGGCACTTTATAACCATCCCTGGTATCTTCCAAGCAGGAGCAGGTCACATGGCCAAGTGACCTGTCCCTGTGTCCCATGTCAGCGGCCATTAGATACTGACTGATTTGCAGATTCCAGACGCATTCCTCAGGTATGTTTTGGGCACCTTGAGAGCCATTGTCCCTGGAACTGTGCTAAATAGTACAGTCATTCACTGGATGTTCCTGGCCTATTGCTCTGTCTCAGACAGAGAACCTTTCAGCATAAGCACAGAGTACATATTTATAATTCCACATACAGATATAACATAAGTACATGAATAGCATACATAGAATCAGTAGAACATAAGCTTTCATTTGACACCTCACATGGCCCCCTTTGTATAGATTTTTGGGGCAAACACCCCATTGGAGGTGCAGCAGTGATCTGGCTTCTCCCCTTAAAATCCAATAATGTGACAGTAAGCTTTACCCCTCCATATCAATATTCCAATCGTGTGTATTATTCCATCAAGTCTCTGATTCCAATGATGTCGTAGTTGTGTTTATTTATTAGCACTTCCAGTTCTTCCTGCTTATTACCCATACTTCTTGCATTTGTATATAAAAAACAGGACTATGTAGCACTTTAAAGACTAACAAGATGGTTTATTAGGTGATGAGCTTTTGTGGGCCAGACCCACTTCCTCAGAGGCATCTAAGATACTGATTTGATCTTGCTTCCTAATTCTGCTGCTTTGTCCCTTTTTCTCTGCTATTGTAGCCTATGTTCCCTCCCATTTGTGACCCAACACCCAGGTCTCCATGTTCTTTGCTTGCATGTGTGCTTTGGTCACCTGCCCCTATCGATCCTAGTTTAAAGCCCTCCTCACTAGGTTAGACAGTCTGCATCCAAATACAATCTTCCCCTTCCTCAAAAGGTGAACCTCATCCCTGTTTAGCAGTCCTCCTTGAAATAGCATCCTGTGGCTAAGGAAGCCAAAGCCCTCCCCGCGATGCCATCTTCGCAGCCAGGAATTCACCTCCAGGATGCACCTGTCTCTGCCTGGGTCCCTACCTTTGACAGGAAGGACTGAAGAGAACACTCCCTGCACTCCAGACTCCTTCACCCGTACTCCCAGTGCCCTGTGGTCATTCTTGATCTACTCAGTATCACACCTTGCAGTATCATTAGTGCCCATACGGATATGTAGCATGGGGTAGTAGTCAGAGGGCCAGATAATCCTCTACAATGCATCTGTAACATAACTTCTTCCCTTATCAACTGATCATGTAGTCCAGGGCTATTCAACACCCTGGTGTAGTTGATAAAAATGTTATTGACTACACGATTAGTTAAATACCCACTTCTTAACATCCCTAGAACAGACTTGTTAGCACAGGAACCAGGAGCAGTCATGAGGAGATGGGGCCCTGCTTCCCCCACCCCTCATCTCTGCCCCATAGCCATCAAGACTCACTTCCGCTCTCCTCAGCTCGTCCCTGGCTACAGCCAGCCCCATCTCAAGTCTTTGTCCTGCTTCCAGGGCAAAAAGTGTCACCTGATCATACACCCCTCCAGGCTCAAATTACCATGAGCCTGGGCCATTGTGGACGTGCTGGACTAGGCATTCTCCAACAGTGAGGCACCCCCATGTTCTCATCTCCATCTAGATAGGGGTCAGTGCCCAGGGAAATAGGCACACACACAGGGTTACAGTAAAATAGTGTATATAACCCGTGGGTTATACACGTTTTTACAACCCCCCCCCCCATGTGGTATACATGTCCGTGGGGTATACAAGTTTATTTTTACTCACAAGCAGCTGGGTTGTGCCTGGCTGTGGCTGTGCAGGACCTGGGTGTGAGTGTGGTGAATGGATGAATGCAGGACCCACAGGCTATATATGTCCCTGGGTAATCAAGTTTTTTTTTTATACAAAAAAGAAAAAACGCAGTGTGGTGAATGGATGAATGCAGGACCCGCAGGCGATACACGTCCCCGGGTAATCAAGTGGGGTTTTTTTATACAAAAAAGAAAAACCGCGGGTTATACATGGGTGCATGTTATATTCGCTAAACTGTAGTATTACAGGGTGTAGAAATCACATGCAACATAACTGAGTGAATACAATTCTGACTTTGTCATATCCCCCACCCCATTCTGACCCAGAAGTTTGCGCCCGCAGGCGATACACGTCCCCGGGTAATCAAGTGGGGTTTTTTTATACAAAAAAGAAAAACCGCGGGTTATACATGGGTGCATGTTATATTCGCTAAACTGTAGTATTACAGGGTGTAGAAATCACATGCAACATAACTGAGTGAATACAATTCTGACTTTGTCATATCCCCCACCCCATTCTGACCCAGAAGTTTGCGTCTGCTCAAGTTGTCTGAGTTACCATAGTCCCATGTTGGATCAGATTGAACTGAGGGAATGTTCCTTGTGACATATACTCTGCCCAGATTCTGTGTGCCTTCACCTTGCCTGATTTCACCCCTGTGCAGGATTCTCCATTCCAAAACCTGACCTGATTGCCCAGCTGGAACAAGGGGAAGAGCATTTAAGAAATAGAGATCCTGAGAGGCACCTGCACAGGTGAGGAGTCAGGGAAACTGACACAGAAACTTTCTGTTGACTGCAGGAAAAAGCTGGGACAACCAGTAGTCAGGGAAACTGACACAGAAACCTTCTGTTGAGTGCAGGAAAAAGCTGGGACAACCAAAAATGAGCAGTGAGTGAGAGCCCTCACTTCTGCCCCATATCTCCCAGGTAGGAATGCAGGTGTCATCCTGGCAAATACCTGTCACAACTCCCCAGCCATCCTGTCATCTGTCAAGAGTTTCCTCCCTACGTTTCCTTCCCTGGGAATGTTTGAGTGGGATGTGGAGACAGAATTCAATGTCTGTCTCCTTAACTATTATTGTGTGGTGCTTTCTGTCTTTGCCATTTTCCTGTCAGTCCCTTCTCCCCAGCACAGACAGTAACTATAGCCTGGATTCTCTCTCTCTCCCAGCAGGTGATAGAACAGCGAGGGAGAACAATAAGAAGAATCGACAGCAGGAAGCTCCTGAACCAGTAGAATCTCAGGGAACGTTTGTGGAAGGAGCTAAAGGGGATTTTTCCCAGTGTGTAGAACAGGGGGAAGCCTGGGAAAATCGACACAGGGGAGAGAGGCAGCTGGAGAACAATCCAAGCAGGAAAGCAGAGGAATCCATTGAATGTGGGGGAGGATCCAAGGATCCCAAGGAAACTCCAGCCCAGCAGTCAAATCACAATCAAAAGAAACCTTGTGAATGCTCAGACACTGGGAACAAAATCAGTGAGAAGTCAGGCCTTATTTTGCCCCAGAGAGGGCACACAGGAGAGAGACTCTGCAAGTGCCTTGACTGTCGAAAATGTTTGATTGAACTGTCATCCTGTATTGAACATGAGATTATCCACATGGGAGGAAAATCCCATACGTGCTTTGAGTGTGGGAAGAGCTTCACTTTGAGATCACACCTTAGTATACATCAGCAAACCCACACAGGTGAGAGGCCATATAGATGTTTGGAATGTGGGAGAAACTTCATTAAGAGGTCACACCTCAGTGTACATCAGAGAATTCACACAGGAGAGAAACCATATAAATGCCATGAGTGTGGGAAAGGATTCACTGACCGATCAACCCTCACTAAACATGTGAGAACACACACGGGAGAGAGACCATACAAGTGCCATGAGTGTGGGAAAAGCTTCAGTCAGAGTTCAAACCTTACTCTTCATCAGAGAGTACACACAGGAGAGAGACCATACAAATGTCATGAATGTGGGAAAGATTTTACTGAGCGCTCAGCCCTTATTGTCCATGAGCGAATCCACACGGGAGAGAGACCGTTTAAATGCCACAAGTGTGAGAAAGATTTCACTGAGCAATCAGCCCTTACTGTACACGAGAGAATCCACACAGGAGAGAGACCATATAAATGCCATGTGTGTGGGAAAGGATTCACTGAGCGATCGGCCCTTATTGTCCATGAGAGAATCCACACGGGAGAGAGACCATATAAATGCCATGTATGTGGGAAAGGTTTCACAACACGATCAGCCCTTACTGTCCATGAGAGAAGCCACACAGGAGAGAGACCATACAAATGCCTTGAGTGTGCAAAAGGTTTCACTATGCGATCAGCCCTCATTAGACATGAGAGAACCCACACAGGAGAGAGACCATATCAGTGCTTCGACTGTGGGAAAAGCTTCAGTCAGACTTCATATCTTATTAGCCATCAGAGAGTGCATACAGGAGAGAGACCATATAAATGCCGTGAGTGTGGGAAAGGTTTCACTCGTCAGTCAGCCCTTACTGTCCATGAGAGAACCCACACTGGAGAGAGACCGTATAAATGTACTGAATGTGGGAAAGGTTTCACTGAGCAATCAGCCCTTACTGTCCATGAGCGAACCCACACAGGGGAGAGACCATATAAATGTGTTGACTGTGGGAAAAGCTTCCGGCACACCTCACACCTTAGTAGGCATCAGAGAATCCACACAGCTCCTGAATCAGCAAATCCCCCAGCGAAGAAACTGCAGATTTCATTAGCTGGCATGTAAAACACTTCTGTTAGAGCCTGGGCGCCTGAGACTGCTCTACATATGAGGGAATTCTCCAAGCACCCTGCCTAATTTCCACGCAGATGAGTGGCACTTGGCTCCCAGGGATCCAGCTGTCCAGTGCTGGAGTGAGGAGACAGCAGCACCCAACAATCAACTGGTCAGTGACCTGCTGGCTCTGCCTGGTCTGAGCAAACCCCAAGCAGGGGACCCCAATCACCCCTCGTGCCAGCTGCAGCCCTGGCTGCTGATCTGATGGGACACAAACTCCTCCAGATGCTCCCTGGGCCTGCCTCAAGTTCTCCCTCTCCCTTCCTGACCCGGCTGGGATCCTCCTGCCATGGACATTATGAGAAGAACACTTGGGCAAGGCCCCACTTTCTCTCTGAACACCCATTTCCCACCCCCATCATACATCTCCCTGCTTGGCTGGGCTCCCCCACTGCCCTAGAGCTGTTCCCTGGAAGGGGCACGTGCAGAAAGGCTGCTAAATCCTCCTCTCCCCAAATCCCAGAGGGGGCACTGGGATTCTGCCCCCCCTTAAGCGGAGTGATTGCTAGTCCCCTAGTGCCCTGTGAGGGCAGATTGGCTCATTCCCAGACACTCTCATATGACCCCAGACTATGCTGAAATGTGTTTTGTATTTGTCCTTTTCCTGCCTGATGGGCTAGAACTCACTGGATCAGGGGTCGGCAACCTTTCCAAAGGTCCCATCCTGTTTCACAGCCCTGGTTCCATCTCTGGGTACAGTTGCTGCTGGACTTTTCTGGGCAACTGTAGCTCATGTGTTCATGGGAACTTGAGGGCTTTTTTTTATTTTAGTATAATGACATATAGAACTTTTGTAACTAATACAGTCAAGTAATGAGAAGTAAAGCAGGTTTAGCCATTTCTGAAGAAAATGGGTAAATTGTATTTATTTCCTTGATTCTGAGACTTAAAAGATTACTTGATGTTTCACTCTATGGATGTGAAAGTGATTAACGGCCCACCCTGTATCATGGGGTTTTCTTTCCTTGTGAAGGCTGTTGGGTCACACACTTTGATATCCGGTTAGTTAGATGTGCAGACGTCACAACTCAAATGATCATTTGCCAAAATTTTAATTGTATTTTCACCATGTTCTTTGGTGCCTTTGCCACAAGCTCTTTGTGTGATTTGAGCAATGACAATGGTCAGTATCTCTGAGTGGGGTGAGCAGGGGAAGTTATGGGGTAGGGGAGCTGCCCTGACACTGCACCACCACCACCCCGGAGGGATTGCTCTGGCTGCAGTTTTCTAATCTCCTAACCCAAGCCCTGCAGGCCGTATACTGCTGAGCTGGGCCAGCTGCAGCCTTGCCAAAGGGCTATTATCTCAGTGCAGACTCACCCGCAGAGTTTCCTTTTGTATTGGCCCCTCAGGGGTTCTCTCCACTTTTCAGCCACCCATGTGTGAATGCTGCTCTCTAGCAGGTGCCAGGCTGAGCGGGGTGCGGACAGGAGTCTGTCTTTATTCCTCCTTTGCAAATGAAGCAGATTTTTAGTTTCTCCCACTTGTGGTGGTGTTTGTTTTTAATTAACTGGCTCCCACTACCACATGGCTGCTGCTGGGGATCCCTAGCTAAGAGCCCTTTTCCTGGAGGCTGGGGCTTGTGCTGTTCCACACAGGAAACCCCCTCCAATGGGAAGCAGGGGTGGTTCTGTGGTGTCCCTCAGAACATTCAGCCCACTCGTCTGCTTGCCTACAGAGTAGCCTCCCGGGGCTCATTTCCCCTTCCTCTCTCGGGTGGGGACACGGCTCTGAACGAGAGTCTCCCGTCTCTCGGGGGAGCTCCGACCACTGAACTTGGCAGAAATCTCTCCCAGAGACTTGCAGGCTGGACAGATGTTTGTTGTGAAGCATTTTGTAAATGTCGATTGATTTAAACGATTTCCTCTAGTGGTAGGTTTGTTACAATTTTTCTCTATTCAGATGTTTGCAGTTGTACGGAATTAGTGGGGGTTGGAGGGTGTCAGACAAGGGGGAGCAACGAATAATGATTTACTGGCAGTGATACTGTCACTCAAAAAGCTTTACAGCCATAGATAGATGTAACTATGGAAAGCAAAGGGGCCCAGGGCTGTGCTGGGCTCCACTTCCCACAGCCCATTGGCCAGGAACAGGGAACCACGGCCACTGGGAGCTGCAGGGGCGGTGCCTGCGGAGTGACAACACTAGCATAAGGCCTGGCGGCTGCACTCACATTGCCCTGATGGGCGGCATGCACCACAGGCTCCTCACCACTGTTCTCAGGGGGAACTTTTATGCCCTTGGGTTCTGCTTGGGGAAGGAGGCACCAGCCATGCAACAGATGCCCAGTGTGAGGAGCAGCCCTGGAGCTCCTCTCCCCCAGCTGCCTTGCTGTGGGGGGTGGAATCCAGGCAGTGAGGGGTGGGGTGGTTTCCCCCAGCTGGATGTATTTATTGTTCTTCTGCACAGCCCATCCTAAGGAACTGCCAATGGGCATTCACATTACACCCTTTTTTAATCGATGGAAATAGAAACCAGACACATACTAGGTTTTGAACTGGTTTCAGCTGAGGGACAGGTTTGCGTGCATTGGCACAGGAAAGCATTAAGGGTTCGTAGTCATTTAAAGAATTCCCCAAACAACATAAATCCAGAATGAGATGGAACTGGAAAAGCAAATGTTTCCATTAAAGGAAGTTTTCAAGAGGACACTCGGGCTATGTCTACACAGCTTCCCTCTTCCACAGAGGCCTATGCAAATGCAGCATGTATTAGCATATTGCCATACTTCATTTGCATAATTAATGAGCAGCCGTTTTTGCGCAAAAGGCTTTTGCGCAAAAAAGCTGTGTAGTCGGCTCCTTTTTGCTCCAAAAAACCCACCTTGCGCAAGAGCCGTTCTTCCTCATTTTTTTCAGGAAGAATGGCACTTGCACGAGAGGGAGTTTTTGCACAAAAAGAAGCTGTGTAGATGTCTCCCTGTGCTGCCCCTGCAGCCCCCAGGCCAACCCGGCTCATGCTCAACTTATTGGCCCTCTGCAGTCGGTGTGGAGCCAGAGACCCAGTGTGCGGCCTGGGATTTCATGCAGGAACCAGAGCCAGGCATTTGTTTTACTGAATGAACCTCCATGGAGCTGAATCCAAAAGTCGGGGGAGAGGGGGAGGGCACCAGTTAAAATAAAGATTGTCCGTTTTAAATCTCATTATTGGAAAAACAAACCCCAGAGACTTGGGTAAGAGCAGACAACAAAATAACCAAAGCCTGGGGATGGCCCCAGAGCAGCCTGCCCAGGGTAGAGAGATGGGAATGAGAACCAAAGGGGCCAGCCCACAAGCTCAGGGCCAGAGGAGGGAGCTTGGGAGCTGCCACAGACTTTGGGAGGTAGCCGGGGCCCAGCGGTACAGGAGCCACCTCTGAGGCGCCCCCTTGGGGAGAGGAGATCTGGGACGCTCCCGGGACCCTGAAGTCCATAATAAATCTGCAAGTCTAAGGGCAAAGATAACAGCCCCCCAACCTTCACCCTTTGAAGAAACCTCTGCTCAGCTCCCCCAGGCAGCTCCTCCCTCCAATTACCCCCCCACACACCGTGAGACGGGCTCATGCTGT